TCAGATGGCCCCTGTCATTCTTTAATCCAACCTCCAACTATGAGTTTCAACACATGGTCTCTGGGCAAGATGGCTGCCCTGAGTAACCGAAAAGATAGGAAAGGAAAAGTAGAGAAAGAAAAGTATTGCCTGTGGCAAGACAGGGAAGTTGAAGAGCTCAGAGAGGCCAGAGCAAGACCCACTCAATACAGTGACACTGAAAAATTCAGGCAGCTGCTTGTCAGTAGCCAAGAAATCTTTTCTAGTGGTCCCATCAGCTCTCAAATTTCCCCTTTTGGAAGGAAAAAGTTTTCCATATCCCATGGTCTTGTACATGCCTAATACTGTCACCCATAGCCAAAAGCAAAAAGTATAAGACAGATTAATCAAGAGAGAATAGTAGTTAACATCCCATAGTGCCACACCTGTTCTTAACCAAAAGACTTTACTGAGAGCCCTCATTTTTAAACATACTTCAATGCATTGTTGTTCATGTGGAACATTCCACTGTAAATTATCTTTAGTAAGCTTTTGCCATTTCTGTTAGACTGCTGTCTCCCAGGCCTAACGTATATATCAGAAGGAATTTAGTTTTCCAGAAATTAAGGTTCCCATTTTTACCTAAAATATTGGCTTTACTCTCAGGGTATCTTGATTAACTTAGCCAGTGATTTTCCTACCTAATCCTGTAAGAAAAATGAAATAAAGGGGTAGAACATAAAAATGTTGTGAATTTTCAAGAAGCCAAATTTTATAACCCCTGCAATATTTCTGCTTACTATCAGTTCCTTTCTGAACAAGTCAGATCTAAGAGGTCTCAAACTAAATCCAAGCCTCCAGATCAAATCCATTCGTGGATCCAGCTCAGTTTCTGTCATGACTTTCAAACTCAGTTTGGATCAGGAATTGGCTCAGAGAAACTTAGAAAGCTCAAAACACACATCTGTGGAGGTCTGAAATCCGAGAGAGAGCTTACCCATGATCCCTAGCTGCTCAGAGAGATCAGTGAACACAAGCAGGTCCTGCAAGTACCTTGCTTGTTCACTCAGCACTCCTGGGGGTCACCAGAAGCTCTACTTCAGATTCTGCTTCTGACATCATCTGATAAAAAAAAACTTTAGCCAAATTAACTTTAAAGGAGTTTAATTAAACAAGGAACAATTCGCAAGTCAGGCAGTGCCCAGAATCACAGCAGATTCACAGAGATTCCAACGCAGCCACCTGGTGGAAGATTTACAGACAGAAAAAGAGAAATGATGTACAGAAATTGGAAATAAGATACAGAACAGCTGGATTGGTTACAGATTGGTGTTTGCCTTATTTGAACACAGTCTGAACACTCAGTAATGTATGAATGGTTGAAGTATGGTGGCTGGGATTAGCCAAGCCTCAGCTATTGTTACAGGTGCATACCCCTAGTTAGGTTTTCAATCTTGTCCACCTATTAAGCTAGGTTACAGTTCTTCCACAAGAACTCAAATATAGAAGTACAGAGTCCTTCTCGGGCCATATTTAGATCACTTGAACAGCATATATAGGCAGTCCTCACTGTGCAGAACTGTGTAGTGTAAGACTGAAAAACCCTGCAATTACGCAATCAATAATTAATGGGAAAAATTATAGTTATTTGTGACTTTTGAAGTTTTTTGTTAAAACATTAAAAAACATTTTACTGCCAGTTATAACTGTATGAAAAACTATATAGGAAAGGCAAATGAAAAAAGTAAGACCAATATTTATTTAGTATATTATACATTTTTTTAAGAGATGAGGTCTCACTATGTTTGCCCAGGCTAGTCTCAAACTCCTGTTCTCAAGCAATTCTCTCACCTCAGCCTCCTAAGTAGATGGGAGTACAAGTGCATGCCACTATGCCTGGCTTTAGTGTACTATATTCTAAAACGTCAGAAACATGGAGGATTAAAGTGTTTTGTTTCTTTGTAAAAAAAAACTTTTCATTTTTCTCTGAGGGTGGAGGAGAAATGAATTAATCTATATCCAACCTAAGTTGAGCCCTCTAACAAACAACCCTAGGGCACTTGGAGATTCACATTTTCATGTCTAACCTTAACAAATATTTTCCTCATTGCTTTTACAAAGTCATATCTCATTTCTATTATTTCCAACTTATCATATACAGTGGGTATCTTTTCTATTTCTTGGTAAACTATCATAACTCTAAATTTAAATCAGCTTCTAATATTTTATCATTTGTGTTTTCAACATCATGAAATATCTCTGACAATTCCTTTTCTAATAAAGTTTTAGGTTTGAAGTAGCTATGATGTCTCTTGGAATTCTCTGCAGTTTTTAAATGATTCCCTATGGGCTTCTAGCTGAACACCCAACACAGCCTGATTTTATGTTCCATAAAATCCTTGTCATAATATTGACAATAGGGTTTACTACTCTAAATCAGTGGTTTTCAAAAACTTAGGTATATTTTAGCAATGGTTGTCAAGCTTTTCTCAAGCAAAATCATACTAAAAGCAAAACTATTCTGACGTATAGGGATAGAGATGGAGGACCCAGAATCCTGCCCCTAGGTCTCTCCCTCAGCTCCTGAGGTTGTTCCCAGACAGCTCCCAAAACACAGCAGTTTGCAAATATCTGCATTCCATAGTAGATCCAAAGTCTATGGTTAATAAAGTACAGTAAAAACAACCACACACCAGGACGGAGATCAATTAGGATGGGACATTTGGGTTCTGCCCAGTATACTGGTGCCCTAGAATCATTGCATCCCTCTAACTGTTTCTCTGTTGCAGATCACTGATTAGGATCCAGTGTTACTTTTCATCCATCCTTCTAAACAGACTCCTTAAAGTGTTTCTGACTCTCACCTCCCATCTTGAATGTGGCTTTAATTCCACTTTTTAGCTGGGCACGGTGGCTCACACCTGTAATCCCAACACTTTGGGAAGCCAAGGTGGGTAGATCACGAGGTCAGGAGTCTGAGACCAACCTGGCCAATACGGTGAAACCACATCTCTACTAAAAATATAAAAATTAGCCAGGTACAGTGGCGGGAACCTGTAATCCCAGCTACTTGGGAGACTGAGGCAGGGAATCGCTTGAACCTGGGAGGTGGAGGTTGCAGTGAGCTGAGATTGTGCCACTGCACCCCAGCCTGGGCGACAGAGCAATACTCCACCTCAAAAAAAAAAAAAAGAGGTATCACACATGGGCCAGGTGCAACAGCTCATGCCTGTAATCCTAGCACTTTGGGAGGCCAAGGCAGGTGGAATGCCTTAGTTCAGGAGTTCAAGATCAGCCTGGGCAACATGGTGAAACACTGTCTCCACTAAAATATGAAAAATTAGCCAGGCACAGTGGCAGGCACCTATAATCCCAGCTACTCGGGAGGCAGAGGCAGGAGAATCACTTGAACCTGGGAGGTGGAGGTTGTGGTGGTGAGCCGAGATCATGTGGCCTGGACAACAGAGCAAGACTCCATCTCAAAAAAAAAAAAGAGGTATCACACATGGGCCAGGCACAGTGGCTCATACCTGTAATCCTAGCACTTTGGGAGGCCAAGGCGAGTGGATTACCTTAGCTCAGGAGTTCAAGACCAGCCCAGGCAACATGGTGAAACCCCATCTCTACTAATATACAAAAAATTAGCCAGGCATGACGGCGTATGCCTGTAATTCCAGCTACTTGGAAGGCTGAGACAGGAGAACTGCTTGAACCCAGGAGGTGGTGGTTGCAGCGAGCCAAGATGGTGCCACTGCTCTCCAGCCTAGGTGGCAGAGCAAGACTCCGTGTCAAAAAAAAAAAAAAAAAAAAGACATATCACATATGGTCCCACACATATCTAATTTGTATTAGTATTTCTCTCTTCACATGCCTTTTGCTCTGTTCGCTTCTCTTAAACAATCTTTGTTCTAAAGGCTTCATGTCCTGAATTACTTCCTTGACCTCTTTACAGGATCAAAACCAGCTGCTGGCACTGGTTTTCAGCAACAATGAGATCTGGCTTTTAAGCTGGATGTCATTAATGTCTTGGTCATGTCATTATGAGCATGATTGCCTGCATCCTAATCTGACAAGGCAGACAGCAGAGAGAATGGGTGGTGGAATGGAACACTGAAGAAAGCAGATTAGAAAGGAAAGAAAACATCCTCTTGTAAAGCTTTCCATAATGCGATTTTTATCTTTATAAAGATGTATGAGAGGAGAAGGAGAAAGAGAAAAGGGGGGAAACCTAATGGAAAGATTTTATCAGAAAGAGAAGGAACAAATGCCTTTGTAAATAAAATACTTTCTGAAAATTTGGGAAGGTTACTATGAGTGTGGTTTTGTGTGCATCTGTGTATGTGTATAGCTATTCCTTCACTTTTCTCAGTTGTCCCAACACCAAAGAGTCTGACCTCACACCTCCCATAAAATATAAAGTCTATTTGGAAGATTCCATCAAAGCTTAAGATATATACTTGAGTATTCTTGGTTACTAATAATTACCAGCTGATCATCCAATTCAAAAAGTTGTTCCAGGTAAGTTTCAGACAATCTTCGAATGTTTGGTTTCATTGATGGAGCAATGCACATATCCCTTTAATAACATCATAAAACACAGTCAAAATTAATTTCATTTTATGGTAGTTAGTTCCATAATTAAATCTGTGATTCTTGTAGACAGAATGAAAGGAAGGAGAAAGAAAAGACATTTCCCCTTCGGAGAAGCAGATCAGAATCACCCGGAGGACTTTTTCAAACCACTCTCACAAGATTTTGCTGTGTCCCCCAAAGGAGAATATGCCTCCCTTTCCTCATTCCCAACTTGAAATAAACTGGCCCTATGAACACATTACTGATCAGAGTACACCATATTTCTCAAATTGAGACACAGTGGGCAAATAATTCAGGTTTGTGTCTTTGGAACTGAAAAGCCTGTGGAGGAATTCCTTAACAATCTTGAGATTGGAAGCAGTCATTGGCAAGCCCTTATTTGTTACTGTACAATAAAAGTTTCCTTCAAAATAAAATGTTTCCCTATCACAAATCAAAACAACACTTACCAAAGAAGATTCTGAAGACCACTTTTGATTATAACCATGATCATTCCCTCTAAAAACCTCAGTGGATCCTCAGGACATGTAACAAGTATACCACATAATAGTGCCTGGGGAAGAAAAGGAAATAGCATCGATGTTTCTGAATTTTCATGTTTTTACTAAGCAGGAGATAACTTTTTTGTTCAATGTGTTTTGGGTCTTTTGTTTGTTCTTAATTATTTATTTCCATAAGTTTCTGGGGAACAGGTGGTATCTGAGTAAGTTCTTTAGTTGTGGTTTGTGAGATTTCGGTGCACCTATTGCCTGAGCAATATACACTGAACCCAATTTGTAGTCTTTTATCCCTCAACCCCCTCCCACCCTTGCCCCCAAGTCCCCAAAGTCCATTATATCATCCTAGGTCTCTGCATCCTCATAGCTTAGCTCCCATTTATGAGTGAGAACATATGATGTTTGGTTTTCCATTCCTGAGTTACTTCACTTAGAACAATGGTCTCCAATTCCATCCAAGTTGCTGTGAATGCCATTAATTTTTTTCCTTTTCATAGCTGAGTAGCAGGATATATATGATGTGAGATATATATATTTCACAATTATTTTATCCAATCATTAATTGATGGCCATTTGGGCTGGTTCCATATTTTTGCAATTGTGAATTGTGCTGCTATAAACGTGTGCAAGTATTTTTTCTGTATAATAATGCCTTTTCCTCTGGGTAGATACCCAGTAGTGGAATCATTATTCCACTACCGATCAGATGGTAGTTCTACTTTTAGTTCTTTAAGGACTCTCCACACTGTTTTCCATAGTGGTTGTACTAGTTTCCTTTTTTTTTTTTTGAGATGGAGTCTCGTTCTTGTCGTCCAGGCTGGAGTACAGTGGTGTGATCTTGGCTCACTGCAACCTCCACCTCCCTGCTTCAAGCAATTCCCCTACCTCAGCCTCCCAAGTAGCTGAAATTACAGGAGCCTGCCACCATGCCCAGCTAATTTTTGTATTTTTAGTAGAGACAGGGTTTCACCATGTTGGCCAGGCTGGTCTTGAACTCCTGACCTCAGGTGATCCGCCTGCCTCAGCCTCCCAAAGTGTTGGCATTACAGGTGTGAGCCACCGCACCCGGCCTAGTTTACATTTTCACCAGCAGTGTAGAAGTGTTCCATTTTCACTGCAGCCATACCAACATCTACTATTTTTTTTTTTATTATGGTCATTCTTGCAGGAGTAAGATGGTATCACATTGTGATTTTGAATTGCATTTCCCTCATCATAAATGATGTTGAGCATTTTTTCTTAGGTTTGTTGGCCATTTGTATTTCTTTTGAAAACTGTCTATCCATGTCCTTAGTCCACTTTTTGATGGGATTGTTTTTCTCTTCCTAATTTGTTTGAGTTCCTGTACATTCTGGATGTTAGTCCTTTTTGGATGTACAGATTTTTGCCTACTCTGTGGGTTGTCTGTTTACCCTAGCAGCAACAAACTTTTTTTCATACAGTTAAAAACTCAAATATTGTTACAATTTAAAGTAAATATGTTTTTACATAGCCTTCTATATTTACTCAGTGTTAATATTTTGCTAAAGTAAAACAAAAATGAAGTTTATCTTGCATCTTTCTAAAAATTCATCATAAAAAAACACGCAAAAGTTACTATACTGTGAAGGTCTGCATTATGTGAGGAGTACGTTCTCTATAGCCAATCTGAAGACATAACTGTGATGTTTTACATCAGGGGTTTCTAGCCTTTTAAAGTATAAGAAACTCACAGGGTTTTGGTTTTGGTTTTTTTTAGCCAAAAAGTTCCTTAGACCCAACCATAAAAGAGATTGAGAAAATCCACGATTAAAATGTGTAAATTTAAGAACTCTTAAAAATACATTTCTATTTTATCATTCACAACATCTACAGAGTATATACATTTCAAAAATTGTAGCTCAGTACACACAGGTGAGAAACAATGGGTTTGCTGGATCTAAGATACTGTTTAAAGCACATATATGGAACTCAAAAAGTTGCTGTTGTCTCATTTTCCTCATGAGGTCCTCCCAAAAGAAGAAACTTCTCATTAAACATGTTGGCAAGATATACACAATTATTGACGTTTTCTCCATTTGAGACAAATGAAAAGGTCTGCAGAATACTTCCCACAGAAACCACCTGGAATTCTCCATCCACATTTCTCTTTCCCTTCGTGGTTCACTGTTTTCTGGTGGGGCCTAGTGTACATGTTGGGGGTGGCTGGGATGCTTTGGACCCACTCCTGCTGGCTTTTTCTCTTGATTCTGTATTTCCAGAACAAAATAGCTCCATCACTTGAGTTACACAGAGCAGTTCTCCCTACCTCCATAGGCCAAATGTCAGCAGATCTAGGCCTGGGGTCTTGTCTTAGATTCTCAGCGATTCTCATAGTGCCCTTCCAAAACTAAAAAAAGTCAGTTCTCCTAATTGGACCCTGCATAATACAACCTCCCCCTTTGCAATAGCTCCATGCTCCTCTTCTTAGTACACAGCCTGCAAGCAGGAAGCTCAGCCCTTACGAGAATGGCACAATGGTGAGATTTAGATCCCTCTCCCTCTCCAGCTCTGCCTTCAGACTTGAGCCCATACTAACTGCTCCTAAGTGCTCAGCCACCTGCAGACTTATTTCCTTTTCCCACAAACCAAGAGACTATAGATGTACAGGAGATTAGTGGTCTCACCACAGTTGCAACCTGAATTTGAACAGTCATCTATTACCTAAAGAATCAGCAAAAATGGGTTCTATGGGGACCAAACAAAAGGGCCAAAGCCTACTATTATCTGGAGGCCAATCAGACTTCCCACAGCTCTCTCAATATTCCTGGTGAAAAGTCCATCTGCTCTCTAGCACTCTGTGCCTGGGTCTCTAGAGTATTGAATTTTTGTACTCCCTACTCTACATCCTTTTCTCCCATCTTATTCTGGCACCCTGAGGACATCTACATCAGAATCACCTGGAGAACGAATTTGTCTCTGAGAATGGAGAGTAGGAACCTGCATTTTACTAAGTTCTCCAGGTGATTCCTATGCATACGAATGAGTGCCTAAATGAAGTTCAGCGTTATGATACATTTTTAAGAAAGTTGAGGTCTGGTTAATGTATTTCAGAAATTGCATATATATATGTAGACATATATACATTTATAACCTCCACATGTAATAAACTACTTTTCCTGGAAAGCTATCCTACAGAAGTTAAGTCAGGTTGAGAAGGTAAGTCTCTGAAGTGCTAATAAAGGCATATGGAATGAGCAGAGTTGAAATGCACACTTTTCACATAAGAAATTTCACTGTTGGCCAGGTGTGGTGGCTCATACCTATAATCCTACCACTTTAGGAGACCAGGTGGGAAGTTTGCTTGAGGACAGGAGTTCAGAACTACACTGGGCAACACAGTGAGAACTCATCTTTGCAAAAATACAAAAATTGTTTTAAAAATTAGCTGAGCATAGTGGTGTGCACCTGCAGTCCTAGCTACCTGGGAGGGTGAGGTGGGAGGATTGCTTGAGGCCAGGAGTTCAAGGCTGCAGTGAGTTATTATCACAACACTGTACTCCAGCATTGGTGACAGAGAAAGGCCCTGTCTGAAAAATAATAATAAAGAAAGAAATCTCACTGTCTTTTTCCCTTGGACAAAATAGCATAGCATGACATTTTATGTAACAATGAGTGAACAATGCATAGCTACATGCCAATAAGACAGCACAGCTTGGCCGGGCGCGGTGGCTCAAGCCTGTAATCCCAGCACTTTGGGAGGCTGAGGCAGGTGGATCACGAGGTTAAGAGATCGAGACCATCCTGGTCAACATGGTGAAACCCCATCTCTACTAAACATACAAAAAATTAGCTGGGCATGGTGGCACGTGCCTGTAATTCCAGCTACTCAGGAGGCTGAGGCAGGAGAATCGCTTGAACCCAGGAGGCGGAGGTTGCGGTGAGCCGAGATCATGCCATTGCACTCCAGCCTGGGTAACAAAAGCGAAACTCCGTCTCAAAAAAAAAAAAAAAAAAAAAAGACAGCACAGCTAATGAATCAATAGCTTTTTCCCTGCCCAATTAAAATGAAAATCACAAAACCATTAAGTCTTTATTGTAAGCAGAAGCAAAATTAGCCAATATCCACAAAATTAATGTTTGACCCTCAAAAACATTAATCAGGGTCTTGTTATTGATAATATTCTCAGTAAAAACTTAAACAATCAAGGACAAAAAACTCCATGAGTTAATTATTGGATTGGCTCTCTCAAGCTTGTAAGTTCACAAACAATTACATAATCTTCACTTTCTTTTGGCTCTACTCTCCTAAACTCAGCTCCCAATAATTCTCATCTATTCTGAAGGATGTTCTAGGCCCTGAGGACAAATATGGGTTTATCTTGGACTGTTGTTCCCACTCCTTTCCCCTACTATGTATCCTTCAGGGAGTAAGATAATGCAAAGGGTAGAGTCCACTTGGTTTAAATGTGGGATCTGCAATCTTCTACCATGCAACCATTGACAAATTATGTCTGTTTCTGTTTCCTTAAAAAAATGGGATTTTTAAAAAGTTCGTACATCATATGGCTATCATGAAAATTAAAAACTGCTTTGAATAGTGTCTAACACAGAAAAGGCACTCAACAAATGATGATAGCAAGCTATCTCTTTTTTTTTTTTTCTTTTTTTTTTTTCTTTTTTTTTTTTTGAGACAAGGTCTTGTGCTGTAGCCCAGGCTGGAGTGCAGTGGCACAATCAACTCATTTTAACCTTAAGCTCTTGGGCTCAAGCAAACCTCCCACCTCAGTCTCCCAAATAGCAAGGACTACAGGCATGTGCCACCATGCTCACTTAATTCTGTTGCTGAAATGGAGTCTCACTCTGTTGCCCAGGCTAGTCCTGAACTCCTGGCCTCAAGTGACCCTCCTTCCTCTCAGCCTCCCAAAGTGCTGGGATTATAGGTATGAGCCACTGTGCCTGGTCCATCAATATTTTTAACCATTCCACTGCTAATTATCAGCTTCATTAGAGGAAAACATTTGGACATAGAGAAAAGAAACTGAAAATATTCCATTATACTACTCAAAGCCCAGTATGATGAGAGAGAGAGAAAGAA